GAAGACTGGAGAGTGAGTCCATAACATTGCCTGCCTGGGTGTCTCATTGCTGTTCTCTGGATCCAATGTCCAGCTGGTTAATGGTGGCAGTGCTGGCATTATGACGGGGAGGTAGAGAGAGGCTTTGGGCACCACCAAGTTGACCACATTCTACTTTCTTCTCACTCTTCTGGGTGGGCTTATCTGAGGCTGCTGTGAGTACAGGAGCACTGTTCAAATTGTATCTGTTTCTACCAGGAGAATTTCCTCTTGGCAGTCTAATTGCTACTCTTTCTCTAATGGGTTTCATACCTACTTTGGAACAATCAGGGACTCCAGATTTAGGGATATAAAGTTTCATGTAGCAAGTATCCAAAGTTTCATCCCATCCAGCCAAGAAGACAGTAATTGCTGGATGCCTCCCCATAGAGCTGTCCTGTTCTCACTTACAGGTGGTATGTATACACCAAGGAACTGCTGGGAAGGTGCTACCTGCAATGCAGGGAGAGGACCAGTACCTGGATACTGGCTCCATCTGATAGTTGGACAGCAAGAAGCCCACCCAGGCTGGCAGCACGTGCAGAAAGAGCCAGCTGCCAGAGGCCAGCCCCATAGGTGGCCCATTTACTCACCTCCCCAGATGTTAGTCACCAAGCTTTCAAGAGGAAGTGGGGTGCAATAGTCCAAAGCATGGGTTTTTTTGTCAGTTGACCTGGGCTCAAATCCCACTTCTATTATTTCCTTTCCATTGGTAACTTTTTTCCTTCTGGGAGCCTAAGTTTCCTTATTTGTAGAGTGGGTTTAGTTCCCGGTGTCATGAGGATTCATGAAATAGAGCCTCCCTATGTGGTAGTGATTACTATTGCCTGGCTTTCTAGCATCTATACCAAGTGGCCTGAGCTCTTTCCTCCCCTTCCCTTTCTAGTTTCATTCCTCTCCCTGGAACAGCCATCCTGGGGGGTATGGAATCTTCCAGTGGTATCATCATTCCAGGGTAACCTCCAACAGTTAATTCCGTGGATAATGTTTTTAATGAAGGGAATAGGTTTTCTTGGAGTGTCTGCATTGTCCCATCGAAAGACAGGGTCCACCTAAATCCCTGGAGCCTGGCAACTCTACAAATTCGTGAAGTCCATATTACTGTCATTGCAGTGCCACCACTCCTGGGTCCACAACTACCAAGAAGTTTCTCACGGAGAGGCTGCAGTGTTGTGTGCAATCCTGGCAGTGCAGCACCACCAGGGGGAGCTGCCCAGCCCGCTTTACTTTCAGCAAGGCAGAATTAAGACACCATGAGACAGGTTTGACCCTTAAGCCAGCGAAGCATAGGCAGCTAACCTGGACCTGGAAGGTCTGTGATCTGGTAGGCTGAGAGTGGTACTAGCAGGGACCCTTAACATCAGCTGGACTCTTTACAATTTGCCACCTGTTCCCAACACGCCATTCTATCTTAGGACAAATGGGACAAATGTGACAATGCCCAGACTTGAACCAAGGCACAGGGAGGTGAAGTAGCTGCTCAAGCCCACCCAACTGGAAGGAGCAAAGTGAAGATCCCTTCTAGACTTACTTGTTGCCAGCTGCAGAGCTTGGGCATTTGGCTAGCAGGAAAGGCAGCTTGGCGAGAGGGAAGGCAGCACCTTGGGAGCCTAGAGCTTCACTTGGAGCCTAGCTGTACCTCCATCCAGCATGGCTGACCTGTCTTATCCATTCCTTTCTCCTCCTCCCACCCCATGGGACCTCAGTGACCTTCTCTTCTATTTAGGGGGAGTTAGTAAGTGGCTTGGGATCAGTGTGAGTGGAGCCCTTGGTATTCAACCAGGATACATGATTTTCACATACCTCTTTAGGGTTAGCCTTGTCCTCTTTAGAGATGATAATTAGTTCTGCCAGAGACGTCTCACACATTCTAGCTAGCCATGGGTACTCCAGGGGTTGATCCTGGGAGGCAAGGGGGCCTGGGCAGCTGTGTTAATGCCGATGCCTCGGCCCCCCATTCCCATGGTAGACTTTAGCTACCATGATAAATGCCATATGGACTACCTCGTGTAATCTTCACAGCCCTGTGAGGCATGCTATTGTCACCCCCACTTTACAGAGGAGGAACCTGAGGATCAGAGAGTACCTGAGCAGGTCTGGAGAAGCACTGTAGCTTTTCTTCCATCTCTGCCACTGGCTGGCTGAATGTACAAGGTTTGGGTCTGCAGACAGGAATGTAAAGGGCATGAGGGCTAGTTGCCCTCTGAAAAGGCTTCCTGGGTACTAACTCTTTTTTTTGTTTTTGTTTTTTTTTTGGGACAGAGTCTCACTCAGTCACCCTGGATAGAGTGCTGTGGTGTGATAGCACATAGCAACCTCAAACTCTTGTTCTCAAGAGATCCTCCTGCCTCAGCCTCCTGAGTAGCTGGGACTACAGGTGCCTGCCACAATGCCTGGCTAGTTTTTTCTATTTTTAGTAGAGACATAGTCTCCCTCTTGCTTAGGCTGGTCTCGAACCCCTGAGCTCAGGCAATTCACCCACCTCAGCTTCCCAGAGTGTTAGGATTGCAATGGTGAGCCATTTTAGTACTAACTCTTAGAGTCAGGGAGGAAGGGAAGAGCTGGCCTTTCAGGAGCTCACAAACCCAGGGAGTCCTGCAGAGCTGTGGTGGAGGATAAGTTACTGCAATACTTGCCAGCAAGTAATCATGCACAGAGGCCAGCAAAAGTGACAGGAGCTGTGGGAATCAGTGAAGGCTTCCAGGAGGAAGGGGACTGGAGCTTGTCCTGGGATAGGATGAGCATGCAGAGGGAGGGGAGACAGGGAGGATCTGTGAGCAAAGGCCAGGACTTGAGGGTTCTAGACTGGGAAGGGAAACAAGCAGGAGGATGAAGGCTCCTCTCTGGGGCACAGCCTTGGCCTTTAGGACAGAGATAAGCTGCAGGAAGACGTGGGTGTCCAAGGAAGTGGGTGCTGCAGCGCGCACATGCTTTATGATGTTGACACTGACCTCAGGAGGAAAAATGAGGTTTTACGTTTACTGTTGTCAAAAAACTGCCTGCCTCAAGGGTGTGTGTCTGTTTGAAGGCTACGTCAAAGAAAGTCCTTTTATATTCATGATCTTTTACTTTCCCAATTGCACTGAGAAGTTGGCTGGACTACTAGTTGAGAGATATACTCAAAGACAGAAAACAGAGTTCCTACCGGATGAAATGACTTGCTTATAGCTATGGGGCTCAACACTTGAAATGTCAAGGCCTAACATGGGTTTTTGGCCCTAGCTCCATGATCCTGCCCTTGAACCTTCTGCCCAGACCCCATCCCACCTCCTAGGACCTTGGGTGCTGCAGGCCACATGCTGTCCCTGCCTCCTGCACCCCCAGGCATTCTCCCCTGGAGTGGAGGGGCACTCTAGGCTATGTATGAGTCCTTACATTTTCATCAGAGCTCAAGGCCAAGATCATGGATCTATATTCACCCAAATTCACCTTTTGGGCTTTTAGTACCTACTTGCCTTGAGGGGGGAACTGCCACAGAAAAACGACCAGGGAGGAGTTAAGCTCTGTGTGGACTTGGGATACAGCTGGAATGTGGTCCTCCAAGAGAACGTGCGAGGGCCTACTAATCTGACTTCTTTCCAGAATCTCCAGTACAATGGCACAGAGGACTGGGGATTGGGGGGGGGGGAATCTGGGGAGTTGACTTCTGCCCCTCACCATTATCCTTCAGAGCCATCTTGACAGAAAGGTATGATTATGACCCTTGTTTTAGAGATGAAAAAAGGGAGGCACAGAGAGGCTAAGTGACTTACCCAAGGTCACACAGTAAGTGGCAGAGCTGGGGTTTGAGTCCAGGAAATCTGCCTCTAAGAGCTGTTGTATCTCAGTTAATAAAAGCAATAATAATCACAGCTACCATTCCACTAGCCACTGACACTTCTTCTGTCCCTAGTACTTTAATTCCTCACAGCAATGCTGTGATTGATATTCTCGAAATCTCTCATTTGTGAGTTGATGTTCTCCAAATCTCGCATTTCATACATGAGTAAATCTGAGCTTAGCAGGGCGCCTGGAGTGAGTGACTTTAGATTCTCACAGATGTTAGGTCTGTCTAAATCTGAAGCTTCCATCCTTCTCTGCCTGTTTGACCCGCTGTGCGACTTTGAAGTTTGAGCCTCAGTTTCCCTATGGCTTAAACCCTCTCTTCCTCCTCGCTTCCCTGCTCCAGCAAGTGTGAGAATGGACGGGGTCGCCTTGGACGCTATGTAGGTGAAAGTCGTCGGGCAACTCCAGAGACGCCCTCCTTCTCCACTGATTTCCCCTGAAGAAGTCACCGGGCTGAGCTGGGATGGAGGGGCGGGCGGGAAGATTCTGAGGGGTGAAGGTCGGTGCTGCGTCCCGGAGAGCATAGCAAAGCCGGGAACAATTTCGGGAAGGGCCGAAGGGTCCAAAGTCACGTGCTCCAGACGGTCTTGCTGGAGCAGACGGTCCTTAGGGAAAAGAAGCGCCCGGACTACAGCAGGGGGCGGGGAGGGAGCGCGGGAGGAGGCAGGTTCTGGGCAGAAGGGATGAGGGTGGGAGGGAGATAGAGAGCACGCGGACAAAGGAGGAGGCCGGCAGCCCAGCTGTTTTGAAAAATGCTTCCTGTTTCTTTAAAGGCGCTCGCGGCTCGGGCGGCCGGGGCTGGGGAGGCGGCGGCGGCGGGAGCTGCCTCCTCTCCGGGCGGCGGCGCTGACTGATCTCGCGAACTGGGCTTCTGTGTAAACTGAGGCTAAACAAACACAGATGGAGCTCAGCGGGCGTTCTCCAGAAATGCTGGCTAGGCGGCAGGGACTTGAGATGACACTCTGAGCGCTCCGGGAACGGACAGCCCAGCGGCTTCGTGGAGCCGGCGGCGCAGCTGCCCCGGGCGAGGGGGAGAAAAGGAGAGAGGGAGGGAGGCGGCGAGGGAGGGCGAGGGAGCGAAGGGGGAGAGCGAGAGACTCCGCGGCGCTGAGCGCGGCCGGGGCAGAGCCCGCGCGCGGCGTGCAGAGCGGGCGCGGCGGGTGCGCGTCCGGGGCAGCCCCACGCCCCTGCCTCGCGCGTTGTCTGCACCATGAAGCACATCCCAGTCCTCGAGGACGGGCCGTGGAAGACCGTGTGCGTGAAGGAGCTGAATGGTCTCAAGAAACTCAAGCGGAAAGGCAAGGAGCCGGCGCGGCGCGCGAATGGCTATAAAACTTTCCGATTGGACTTGGAAGCTCCTGAGCCCGGCGCGGTCGCCACCAACGGGCTTCGGGACAGGACCCAACGGCTACAGCCGGTCCCAGTGCCAGCCCCAGCGGCGCCGGTTGTTCCCCAAAGTGGGGGCGCGGACATAAACCGGGAGCGTGGGGGCTCCCGGGCGCCCGAAGTCTCGGACGCGCGGAGACGCGGTTTTGCTCTGGGCGCAGTGGGGCCGGGACTCCCCACGCCGCCACCGCCGCCGGCACCGCAGGGCCAAATACCTGCGGGTCCCGAGGCACAGCCTTTCCGGGAGCTCGGCCTGCGTCCCCGCATCTTACTGTGCGCACCACCCGCACGCCCTGCGCCTCCAGCTCCCCCAGCGCCTCCAGCGCCCCCAGATGCTGTAGTGCGCCCTGCGCCCCCCACGCGCCCGGGGGAAAGTTCCTACTCTTCAATTTCACACGTAATTTACAATAACCACCCGGATTCCTCCGCGTCGCCTAGGAAACGGCCAGGCGAAGCGACTGCCGCCTCCTCCGAGATCAAAGCCCTGCAGCAGACCCGGAGGCTCCTGGCGAACGCCAGGGAGCGGACTCGGGTGCACACCATCAGCGCAGCCTTCGAGGCACTCAGGAAGCAGGTACCAGCTCCTCACCGTGCCCGGGGGCGATTGCCTTTTGGGTGGGTGGATGGTCCAGGGACTGTAGGGAGGCTAGGTGTGTGTTTAAGGGACAAGCTGTCCCCTCTGGTCCGTCCCGGGGCTAAGACAGTTTTGGGCAGTCCTGAGGCAGTGACCTTGCCACAGCGTTGATTCGACTCCTACTGTGTAAAGTGGGGGTAAGCATTCGAGGTCTCTGGCCCAGGCATGTGCACCACCCACCGCCCCGCCAGGGGGTAGCCGGGTCTAAGAGTCTGACTTTATCCATCACAGTTCACTTTTATGAAGGTGAGAATTTATCTCCCGGAGTCTCTTGGGAGCAGTGGGATGTGAAGAGGGGCAATGTGAGAATCTGTTTTAAACTAGGGAGGGGTGGAAGACTCTTCTCTTGCAGGCATTTGTCGTGGCCAGAGTCTTGGAGCCCCTGTTAGTGGTGTTGAGGCCTGGAACGCTGTGGTGAAGCAGTCGGGAGTGTGAGAGTCCAGCAGTCCTAGGGAGCCTGTCACCCCTCTTCAGTCCCCAGCTCCTAGCGGGGATGCTGATACACTCAGGTTGCTTCTACTTCTGCATCTTTGGCCTTGGTGTCCTTAAAAACCTGGGCTACACGCCTGCACCCTCTCCCCAGGGGTGGCCTCTAGAATTGGCTGGTGGGAGCCTTCCCAGGACATTGCTTCAACCCCACCCCTCATCCTGTAGTGAGGGAGGCAGCTCTGCCCAGGGGACCAGCTAGTCAGGAGCCTCCCTTTGGGGGATCTGCAGAGCCTAGTTCTGGGGCCAGTTGGGGACTACTTAGTTGGGGGCTGGTTGGGGCTTCCCTCACTGGACAGTGCCTCCACCAGTGGGGTAGAACACTTAACCCAAGAATTACCATGGTGGGGAGGGGCGGTTTACAAGTACACATTAGACAAGGTTGGCACTGCCCTGGGGTTCTAGACTTCTAATTTTCTTAGAGAAAAAGGAGGTCTAGGAAGAAGGTGATAAGTGCTTACCCCCCACCTCACACAGGGCATGCATAAAGGTTGTAGGTGGATGTGACTGGTTTGTGGAGTGAGTTTCTTTGCATGCTTTGCAGCTGATTTGCTGTGTGACTCCAGGAAAGTTTCTCAACCTCTCTGGTCCTTAGCCAACAACAAAACATTTCAGAAATCATGATCTTCTTTTTGAATCACACTTTCCCTTCTGAGGACTGGGGGAGGAGGGGGCTATAATGCCTGTTTTTGTCCATGGGAAGGAAATTGAACTCCCTGGGCAAAGAGGCCTTATGGCTTTTAAGCCAAAGTGTCTTGCTTGGACTTGGGGGAGATGTTTGGTTAGTAAGGTGGGGCGAGGGTGGGGAGGTCAGGTGGCTGTCATAGACCAGGCTAAGCCTCTGCCTACAGCCACACCAGCTGATACCCTAGGCAGTGGGCACAGTGGTGCAGCCAGTCCCACTCTGGGCCAGCAGCTCTGTCTCAGTCCTGGGTAGGGGTAGCATCCTGTGGGATGTCGTGCAACCCACTTCCCAGGGCAGAAGGATGACAGAAGAACAGAGAGATGCGTGTCCACCTGTTCATCCTGCAACTAAGGAAGTTCCTCCCAGATTGGTGAGGCCTCATGCCCAGAGCCTCACAGCTGGTAAGTAGCAGGGCAGAACTGACTTTGACTTCCAGTTCAAATGGCAAGCCATTTCTACCCTTCCAGCTGCCCCTTTCTGTTCTGAGTGAGAATATTTATCTGAGTGATTTATTACATCTCACTTGTCCAGGGGCTTTTACTGCTTTCAACAATAAATTCCACCTTATTGGCTAGATGTGGTGGCTCACCCCTATAATTCTAGCACTCTGGGAGGCTGAGGCTGGTGGATTGCCTGAGCTCAGGAGTTTGAGACCAGCCTGAGCCAGAGTGAGACCCCGCTTCTAAAAATAGCCAGTGTTGTGGCGGGAGCCTAGTCCCAACTACTTGGGAGGCTGAGGCAAAAAAAATCGCTTAAGCCTAAGAGTTTGAGGTTGCTGAGAGCTGTGACACCATGGCACTCTTCTGGGGGTGACAAAGTGAGTCTCTGTCTCAAAAAAAAAAAAATTCCACCTTATTAACAATATCCATATCAGGATTGGATCAATGTGTATTATGGAATGGAAAACTGAAGCCCAGAGAAAGAAGAAGACTTGTCCGAGATCACCTAGAGGGTTGGGAAATGACAGCAGTTTCTAGAATGCCCACCCGGTCAAATGCTTCCTACAGTGCCATCCATGTCAGTGTCACGGGCTCCCCACAACCCCTAACCTATGATGTTTGTTAATAATTGAGCTGGGTATTCACTTGGCAGACTCTCTGAGATGAGATTATTAATTCTGGTCTCCTTTCACTTCCACCCTTCCTGTGGGAGGTTGTATATAAAAGGGACAAGTTCAGTGTGTCTAAGCAGAAGGCAAAACCCAAGCCCTCTCAGGCAGAGAATGTGTATACACACCCAGGTACACACACCCATGTGCACACACGTGCTCATTGCACGTGCCCAAGAGCACACACAGATGTGTGGTCATGGAAACACAAGTACACAGTCACGGAAGCACGTGCTTCTGTTTGTTTCCTCCTTGCCCCCAACCATTCTGACCCTTCCCTGAAAAGCCTGCTAGGCCATAGTGGGCGTCTGCTTGTTATCTGGGAAGGAAAGAAATACAGTGCATGTCTGGTCACAGAGCCAAGGGTTAAGACTACATCTACCATGCCACCATGCTCCCTGCCCCACTGCAGCATCCATTTGCTAGAGAAAGTCCCATGTTCCAGAGGAGCTCTTTCCTCTTCTGGGTCTCAGCCTCGCCTGCATAATGTGCCCTTCCCCCTGCCCCAGTTCAGACTGGCTGTAGCTCTGGATCTAGGCTCAAGCCTACTTGTTTGAAATGGGCCCTTGGGTGACTCTGCCCAAAATGGGGCTGGGGCTGCTGTGGCATTAAGATTGGATCTGGGACTGTGGCTGTGGTCTGGGACTTCATTTCCCAGAGGTTCCTGGTATGATGAAAGGAGCACTGATTTGAGAGTCCAAAAGCCAGCCTCTGAGTCGTGCATGTGCTGCATGCTTTCTGTGTGGCTGTGGACAAGTCATTGTTCCTCTCTGGGTCTTAGTTGCTCATGCTGTGAAATGGTAATCTCACTTACCTCATCCATAGCTTCTTTGCATAGAGCCAGTGAGGAAAGGAATGGGAGCTATGAGAGCACCGAACGTTCCTTAAGCATCTCCGAGGTCCTTAGGGTTGGGCAAGGCTCTCAACAAACATAGCAGTAAGAACTCTCTAATAGGTTTTTTTGTTGTTGTTTTTGTTTTTTTTTTTGAGACAGAGCCTCAAGCTGTCGCCCTGGGTAGAGTGCTATGGCACAACAGCTCATAGCAACCTCCAACTCCTGGGCTCAAGCGAGTCTCCTGCCTCCACCTCCCAAGTAGCTGGGACTACAGTCACCCACCACAACGCCCGGCTATTTTTTGGTTGCAGCCATCATTGTTGTTTGGTGGGCCTGGGCTGGATTTGAACCTGCCATCTTAGGTGTATGTGGCTGGCGCCTTAGCCACTTGAGCCACAGGCACTCAGCCTCTAACAGTTTTAATAACCATCACAGCAACTACCATTTATCCGATACTTTGTGCCAGGGACAGTGCTAAGCATGTTATGTATATTGGTTCATTTAATATATAGGTATTATTATCACACCCTCTCTATTCCCTGCCCCATTTCACAGATGGTGACACTGGGGTTCAGAGAGCTTACATAAGTTGGCTGAGGTATCCCAGCCTTTTGCCACTGCCTGTGGCCTTGTGGGTTTTGTGCTGCATGCCACTTTGGCATGCTGTTCACCAGACTCCAGTGTGGTGGTGCCTCCAAAGCATCATATAGTCACAGCCTGCATAGCTGCATGTCACTGTCACTGTAGAGCCTGGATTTGAATCAGAGTTCTTGTGACTTTTAACAGCTCTGTTCCTCAGTCTGTCTAATGCCCTGAAGCCATCCAAACTCAGCATGAAGAAGCCAGACAGGCTTCTATTTTGTTAAGATCCACTATCCTCTCAACCAACTGAAAGGGAGCAGGGGACACAGGCTGCATGGCCACCTGCGAGGTGCAGGTGGGAAGAGGCCCTCTGGCCAGAGGGGGGGGGCTGTGCAGGGCAGATGGTCAGGCTGTAGCACATGCCACCAGCCCAGCTGCACTAGAGCCCTCCCTGCCACCTCATGTGAAGGCCATGTGTGCACAGCTGGGCTTGGTCCCTGTGCAGGGCTGCTCCCTGCCAGCTGGGAGGGGTTGAAGGGAAAGGCTGATCTTGCTGAGTGGTGCGAGGAGGGGCTGGAGCAGTGGAACCTTCTGTCTCACAAGCTGTTGCCCCCCCAAGGGTATCTGTATGTGTGTGGATTTCCTCTTTCCCCTAAAGCCCCTGTTTTGCCAGAGGGATGGCAGCACTGGAGGGTGATGAGGAACGACACCTCCTCTGCTGTCCCTAGAGTCCCCCAGGGGTCCTCAGGGAGTGAACTCAGGGTGGTCTGGAGGGGGCTTGGGCCAGCTCAGCACCTCCCTCACTCTTACACCCCACATGTAAAAAGGAGATGGGGGTGGAGCACAGGGCAGCCTGTGTATATCCCCTCAGGCTATGAGGGGACAAGCCTGCGTGCACTGGGGCTACATGTGACAGAGGCCCTTCTGTCCCATCATGTCCCTGGTCACTAGGGTAGCTGCTTGTTGGGCCTCATTGCAGAGGCTTTTGTGCCTTACCCAGGCTTGCTGTTGCATATCTATAGTGCTACCTTCCCATGTTACAGGCGAGGACATTTACATAGAGGTAGCAAACTGCTCAAGGTCACAGAGTGACCAAGATCTGTACCCAAGCCTGTCTGGCCCTGGGGCTGCAGCTCTTAACCGCTAAGACTCAGGTTCTTAGGGCCCAGCCTTGTGGCTGTATAGGAGGTTGGGATTTTAAAGGAGCTGTTGAAATAGATCTTGACAAGGACCTTGAACAGTTCTGGGTAAAGTGACTTCACCCCAGAAATCCAGCACTCACTGATGTGAGAGATTAGAGAATGGTTTCCGTTGGAACCAGTGCTCAGCTGTAGGCACTGGACACAGGTCTCTGTGGGCCCAGGAGTCTTGGCCTTGCAGGAGGGCTGAAGGGTAGGCAGGAGTTGGCACAGAAGCAAGAAGGCAGAGGGCTTTGAGCGTCCCCTGCATTCTCATTTGAGGTTCTTGGCTTTGTTTCTTTATGGTGATTCCCCACATTTGCCGGCATTCTGATGCTCATTTTATTGGTGAGGACATTGAAGTTCCATAAGGTTTGGGGTCTACCTGAGGTCACAGGGATGGCCAGAGGTAGAGCCAGTCCCCCAGGCTCCCAGGTCATTGCCCTTCCTGCTTTTCCCCATTTGCTGGAGCTGTTTTGATGGAATGTTTTAGGGGTTTGGGGGACCTTGTGCAAATGCCAAAATCTGCTCCTCTGAAGTTTAACAATCCTTGTGGGATGAGCATGAGGCAGGTCCTGTTATTTTCGTGGAAGTCAAGCAGTCTGTCAGGAGGGGGAGCCTGTGTTCTCTGATCAGGGTGAGCAGAAAACCACTGTGGGGTCCTCTGCAGGGAGTGGAGTGGGTGGGTGGACTTGGGGCCTTGCTGTGGATGCTCAAAGAGGTAATGCACAAAGTTCGGGGACCCGTGGCATCATCATCCCAGAACTGTCCCATCACCAGCTCAGAGGGTGGCAGTCTGCCTCCCCACCTTAGGCTACTGATGCTCGTCTCCAGGCCGTTCCTGCTGGCTCATTGGAAAGAGCCCAGCTAAACCATGGGTTCAAAATCCAGCTTATCTCTCACCTGCTGAGCGATCCAGAGAGTTCTTCATGCCTGGGAGTAGAGGTCACACACCTCTCTGTAAAGTGAAAGTGATCATTTATACCTCATCGGACTGCTTAACAGATGAATACAGACATTGTACTCAGAACCCCCATCCTCTGCCTAGCCTTCTAGATCACAGGAATCAGCAAGGTGGCTGGGTCTCCATGGGCACTGGAGTCTGTGCTGTACAGAATCTTGCACAAGTTGCTGTGAGTAGTCCCCGCAGCTGGGTGTAGTACACAAAATTGTTCTTACTCTCCAGATGGGGATACTGAGGCTCAGAGAGGTGAGGGCACTTGCTTACAGTCATACAGTTCCCGGAACTCAGACCAGCTCTTTCCATCCCACTTTGGCCTCCTGGAACTAGAGCTGGTTGCCAGATTCTCAAGTTGCTGGGGTAGCTCAGGCCAGGGTCCGTCTGAGCTGGGGTATCAGGGCTAGGTGGCTGTGTCCTGGAGCTTGGATGTCAGGTGAGTTGAGGAGCCACCTCTGGAGGTGGGAGGAAGCAGGCAGCTACCTGATAGGAGCTCTTGGTGTTCCATATGTGGCTACCTCTTATAGTGGGAGCTTGGGAGCCCAATGGCCGTGGGCCTTCCTTAGGTGCCAGTCAGACCAGCTTCTGGCTCCAGCCAGGATGATCTGGGGCCCTACATGTCACCTGTCTGTTTCCTCATGTAAACATGGGTTAATCGTCTTTATTTGGGAGAAAGGTTTTAAATGGGATAATACTACCTGTAAATAGCTACAATAGTGCCAGATATATGAGAGCTTACTAGCTGGTTTTCTTATTGTTAGACCTGGAGCTTGATAGATGCAATGGGACAGAGTGACAAATCTGGAACAAAACTGGCCTCTAACCTGGCATGAGGCCCCCTAGGCTGGCCTTTGGCCCAGTCTGTTGCTCTGTAGTGCCATAGTGACCCTGGGTGGCAGTGGGCAGAGCCCTCCCACGATCCCACCTCCCTGCTGGAAGCCCAGCAAAGCCCTAATGAGCCAGGGACTCAAATTGCTGGGTATTTATGGGAAAGCCCCTGCAGGGCACCTGAGTGAAAACAGTGCTAGGGGCCTTGCCACCAGGCTGTGCCCAGTCCCCAGAGCCTCCCCCCCCCCCGCCTCTAGGGCCAGCATACCTTTTCAGGGGGTGAGCAGGAGGCAGAGATGCTGGCTGGCCCCTGAGACCCCCTTCCCTGCCCCAGGATGACCAGACCTTGTTTATTTGTTCAGGCTGATAAAGCAGGATTTTCTGGACTCTGGTTGGGAACAAGCAAAGTGCATTTTTCTGCCAGCTTTTCTTGGATGGGTTTGGAGCTGTGGCCAGGGTGGGAGTAGGGGGTGGGAATGTATGGGAGTTGGCTTTTGCTCTGTCACCGTTTCCTCTTCCCTGGGTTTCCTAGTCTCTGGACCTCTGGGGAGGGGACTGGACCCCTGGGGAGGGGAAGGGGGGAGCATGTGTCCTGGCTCCAGACCTGCTTCTCACCCTTTCTGGAGGCCTTCTTTGGAGACCTGTGATTCTGACTGTAATAATGTCATGGCCTTCTATCAGGCCTTATCCTGTAATGCATACGTCATCTTAATTAATCTTTACTTTCTTGTGAGGCCAGTCTTGTTTCCAATATGACAAGGACACTGAGGTTTAGAAAGATTCTGTCTCTTGCCCAGGTTGGCAGAACCAGATCCAGGAGTTGAACCCAGGTAACGAAAAGGTACATGTGCTTAGGCTCTATGCCAGATAGCTAAATCTTCATCCTCAGAGAGAAGACAGGTTTTTTAAACCCACTTTAGAACATTCTGGAGTAGATATGGAGAAGATCACTTCCTCAATCAACAAACCCTTTTGAGAGTCTGTTACTGGCAGGGCCCATGCTGGGCTCCTCAGACATGGCCTTCCCCCTCAGCTTGCAGGGAGGTGACGGCATGGGCAGTCCAGAACAGATGGGATGCTGTCAGAGCTCTGTTGAGGGCAGGCTCCTCTGATGTAGGATATGAGTGAGGTTTAAGTGAGATCAGAGTGGGTGTTGCATTTAAGGTCCCCAGTCACCTTAGACTGGGGACCTTAAATGGGATTGTTCATGCTTTATTCCCAGGGCCTGGAATGGAGATTTCCATCCTTGGCATTATCGACATTTTGGGCCAGGTAATTCCTTGTTGTGGGGGTGCAGGATCCTGTGCATTGTGGGATGTTTAGCAGCATCCCTGGCTTCTCCCCTCCCAATCCCACCTCTTTTGTGGTTATAATCAAAAATGTCTCCAGATACTGCCAACCATCCTTTGAGGCAAAGGGGCAAAACCATCCCTGATTGAGAACCACTGGCCTATAAGAATGCCTGGCATATGGAGGGGGAGGGTGCTTACTAAATACTTGTGTGAATGTGCTGTGTGGTCCCCCTCTCTGCGGGGTATGGGTTAATCAGTGATATGGATACCACGTATAGATCCCGAGAAGTGGTCGGAAAGAAGAGACTAGGATCCTTGATTGCTGGGTTTTTAGCCATTTAGGTGGACAACACATTGTAGGAACAGTAGGATCTATTGGTTAGCGCCTGTCAGATGGATGTTGGACAACACATTGTAGGGACAGTAGGATCTATTGGTTAGCGCCTGTCAGATGGATGTTGTGGAGATATTTCCACGTCACAGCATAGAAAACTGTTCAGCTGTGCCACAGTCTGTGCAGCACAAATGTTGGTAGATGACTTCAAAAGTTAAAGCCTCATTCTCCTCACCTGGTTATAATCCCTGTGTGATTATTAAGTATCCAGTTGATCATGAAACAGTGACGAAAAGGTCAGATTTGTTGGGGGCTGTATTTATTCTGCAATTATTTTCTGCCCAGCAGCATCCCAGTTCCAGAGACATATAGAAAAAGAAAACTGGCTCAGCGCCTGTGGCTCAAGTGGCTAAGACACCAGCCACATACACCTAAGGTGGTGGGTTCGAATCCAGCCTGCGTCCGCCAAACAACAATGATGGCTGCAACGAAAAAATAGCCGGGCATTGTGACGGGTGCCTGTAGTCCCACCTACTTGGGAGGTTGAGGCAGGAGTCTCGCTTGAGCCCAGGAGTTGGAGGTTGCTGTGAGCTGTTATGCCATGGCCCTCTACCCAGGGGGACAGCTTGAGGCTCTATCTCAAAAAAAATAAAAAGAAAGAAAAAGAAAACTATGCATGTGTTTTTCCAGCTGAGCACTGACACTTTCCTTCCTATGTGTTCCCAGAGTCCCAAGTACCTATCAGGTTATTAGCTATTGGATCCCCAAATATTCAACAAAACAAGTGTTGCTGAATAAGTGAATGGAAGAACATTGGAGCTAAAAAAAAAAAAAAATCTGTGCTCTTGGAGAGACTCCTTCTCAGGGAACATGGAGGACAGAGGTCTCTCATGGTGGAAATTCACTATGCTTTCATTTGGATGAACTGAATGAGCTGAGCCTCAGTTTCTTCCCCTGCAAAATGGGAATGTGGATGTGTCTCTCTGTGTGTGTGTGCATGTGTGTGTAAAAAACAGGTATTTGGAACAGGTCAGAAACTCAGGGTGGAAGACCCTGGTGCGCCTCAGACAGACCACTTCCCCCACACCTGGCTGGCCAAGGAGGGCATGGGGGTTGCTTGCTCAGCATGGAGACTCCTGCAAACCCTCCTGACACCTTCTCCCCCACCAGGTGCCATGCTACTCGTATGGGCAGAAGCTGTCCAAACTGGCCATCCTGAGGATCGCCTGTAACTACATCTTGTCCCTGGCACGGCTAGCCGACCTCGACTATAGTGCAGACCATAGCAACCTCAGCTTCTCCGAGTGTGTGCAGCGCTGCACCCGTACCCTGCAGGCCGAGGGACGTGCCAAGAAGCGCAAGGTATGTACCAGCTGCTTGGGCACTGTCCTATGGGAAGGACATGGGGCAGGAACAGGAACTTGGGGTGCCCCACTCATACCCAGAATTCTGAAGGGGCCAGAGAGCAGCTCTTGGAGGTTTGCTGGTGGTCGCCCCAGTTTCAGGTCTCCTCACATCTCTGGGATTGTGAGTGTGACCTTACTCCTACTAATCAGGCTGCTGGGTGACCTTGGACAATCACTGTTTAGCTCTGAAGCCCTTTCTGGCCATAGGTGCTCTGGGGCTGAATTCCCCTTGTGGTTCTATCAGGATGAGATTCCCCTGAACAAGGTGACAGCCTTTGGCAGGTTTTGGGAAGGTGACTTGATCTGTGGGTTATCTGAGGCTGTGCATTAAGGCAAGTGAATTCATTCATTCATTCAGGAGAGGTTTACTGAACCCCAACCATAGGCCAAGCAAGCTGGGTGGGAGTGTGAAGATAACAGACTTACAGTCCTTATCCCCATGCAGCTCAGAGATGGTCAGAGAGACCCTCCCATAAGTACATAAGGGAGGACAGTGCTGCTGTGTGAGAGGTGTGGAAGGCCAGGTAGAGGAGGGACAGGTTAACCCTTCTGCCTCAGGGAGTTTGAAAGGGCATCTTGGTGCAAGCGGTATTTGAGCTAGGTAGGACTAGCTTGACAACCAGGAGGTCACTGGGGACGCCAAGGACAGAACAGCATCTGAGGTAGGGGGAACAGCTTGTACAAAGCCTGCTGTGGAAGTGTGTGTAGGAAGAAAGGTGTTGGGCACAGCTGTGAGTCCCCAGATGGCTTGTGCTTCAGGCATCTCCCATCAGTGGTAAATGCTGAGCCAGGCTTATTGCAGCCCTCTGGATCTATTTCTACATGGCTGCAGGGAGCAAGTGGGACTGGTCTGTGTCTGTGTCAGTGAGGAGCGACTCCAGCTGCCCTGAGCAGGATAGCTCCCCTGGCATCCAGAGAGCCTGGTGACCCCATCATCTTCCATCTATTCTTTCAACGGCCTCCTTCCTGCCTGCCTGCCCTTCCCCCTATGCTCACATCCCTCCCCCAGACCCCTTTCAAGCAGGCGCTCCCCTCTGTGGGTTCTCCCGGTTTCCCAGAGGCCCCCATAGACTCCCTGGCCCACACCAAGAAGGGCCGCCCACCTCCTCACAGCCAGCCACTGCTGCTAATTGAACCTGCATTCCTGGGAGTGATTTAATGTGGACCAGTTAGATGAAATCCTCATCAAGTGCGTGAGAGAGGAAGTGCCACTGCTGCGCTGGGCGCTTTCCTCTGGAAAGTGACCCGGTAAATGAAGGCGTGATTGATGGCTCCATGCGGTGCACTGTGACAAAGGAGCTTCGTAAACTCTCCATGAACTTCCCTTGGCATCCAGGCATTCATCAGAGGTGTGGATGGGCAGGGTAGGCAGCGCCCTGTCCCCTTCCCACCCCACTGCCTGCCCCATCCCCATCCCCCTGCCTCCTCTTCTCCACAGAAGGCAGGGAGTGGGGAAGCCCCCTCCCTTTACTGGCTGCTGGCCTGGAGCAGGGTACTAGGCTGAGAGGAGGCTGTCCCCCCTCCCCCGACCCTGGTGAGGAAGAGGAGCAAGGAGGGTGAGGAGCCCGGATAGAGCTGAGCTTTTGGCTTCTCCTAAAGTCACCAAAAATCTAAGACACCAACCTCCCCATTGTACAGATTGGAAGACTGAGGAGACTAATTATGGTTAAGAGCATCCAGCAACCCTGGGTTGAGCCCTGGCTCACTACTGACCAGCTGTGCCATCTTGGGCCCATTTCTTACCCTTCTGCAGCTGGATTCCTCACTGATAAATGGGATGGTGGAAATATTTGTGGACTACCTTGAAAATGCTGAGTCACTGTGTGAGAGTGAGGGGCATGCAGGACATGTAGGACACTCACAGCCTCCTCATCCCTGGGTAATGGGGACCCTAAGACCCTCGGGTTTGAACTCAAGACTCATCTTGTGGGACTTGCTTACCTTAGTTGTCTTGGAGAGGCTTTGGGGCCTGAATGGGAGTTCTAGGGTAGAAACATTTCTCTTCCTACCTCCTCCAGCCAGCCCAAGCCTAAGGGCATATCCCTGCCTTAAGTCTGCCCACGGGAGGTGTGAGGTCACCCTGCTGGGTCTGTCTTTGCCCTGACAACCTTCACTGTCTATCAGACTCACATCAAACTATCCATAGGGCCACATTTCCCATATGAAGATACTTGTGACACCTGGCTGATCCTGGGTTTCCCTGTGGGGACTAGAGTTCATCTTGGAGCCTTTTCCAGACCACTCCCCAATTCGGTAGTTGTAACTGTGAATAATTGAGATTTGGCCCTGCAGCTGTTATAATCGTGGGCCATTGGTGTATCCCAAGTGGTTAGTTTTCTTCCCCTTTATGACTCCTGGTGTCCCTGGAGCCCTTACACTCAGGTACCCCTTTCTGGTCCCTGTGACCCACCTTCTTGGCATTTGTGCTTTTGCTGCCCAAGTCTTTAATGCTGATTGTCATCCTTCCTTTGTCTGTCTGTCTCTACTAGTCTGGCTGTGTTGTCCCCTCTTTCCCTGCCCCCTTGGTTGGGATGTGTGGCATCACACCGAGGCCAGCATAGTTGGCCTCACCTGGCCTCTTTCAGCATATGTTCAACTGGGAGAACATGGGAGATTTGTGGGCCCTGAGAGAACAGGGGAGATTTGTGGGCCCTGAGGCCCCAGGGAAGGGGGTTTCCTGCCCTCCCCCTTGCCCTGCCCTTTTGTTTGGAGAGTTGAGATGGCCTGAATGGGGAGCACATCTTTAGCTGGTCCTGACTTCTGAGTTGTAATTGGAACCTCACTGTTTTATCTTCCTCCTTTGTGGCCCCCGCCTGGGCCTCTGAGACCCCACCTCTATTTAGGGAGATTCTGTTTGGGGAACCAACTGCCAGGACAATTAGACTAATACATTTTTTCCCCTCATATGTGGGACTATTTCTTTGAAAAGGCTTGCAGCATTCTAACAGTAAATTGTGACTGGTTGCGAGTTTATGGGGAGAGACTGAGAACATGGTCAGGTGACAGAGGCTGCTCTGGAGTGGTTTTTCTTTGGACAGCGGCTGGGGAAATGCAGGGCATGAGTGGTGGTACCCAGGCAGGATCCGGTAGAAGCCTAGAAACTCATAGCAGGTATGGGAAGAGCTCCTCTTTCCCACCCTCTACCCTCTTCAGCTCCTTGAGGATATGTGACCAATGCAGAGGTCCCTAAGCAAAGAGATTGGCCTTTGAAAGCTCTCCTTGGCACACACACCCTCCTCTCCCCTTCTTCCTTTTTGGACAGCTACTGACTACCCTCTATGTGCCAGATGTAGTATAGGTGGTACAGGCACAAAATAACTTGCCACATAGTCCCTATAGCCAAGTGGTGACTGAACACTCTTTGGTCTAGAGGATTTGAGAACTAGGGGTAGTTGTGGTGAGAAAAGAGAAGAGCAAACAACATTCTTGCTTCTAACATAAGCCTCTAGTAGCCAGGTGCCACCAGAAAGCTGTGTTGGGGGCCTTGGTGGGCTGGGGAGATTGCCTGCAGTCCTGCTGGGACATGAGGGAGTAGGAGAGGGATGAGAACTAGAACCTTCCATCCAGGGGTCTGCTCTGCCCTTTCTGGGTCGGGAGGCACATTTGTGGGCTGGATGGGTTCACAGTCCCTTGGGCTGGCCTGTTGGTCTTATCTTTGAGAAGGCCCTGAGCTGGGGTGCTTGGGCCCAGTTTGGTTCTGAAAGGCATCCTGAGTGTGTGGTTTCTCTATGAGACCCCTCCACCCGACTTTAGTCCCTCTTATTCAGGACTGCTAGGGTCCCTGGATGTTCTTTCCTGAAAGATGAAATGGCCACTTGAGGGCCACTAGCTTCCCAGCCCCTTCCTACCCAAAATGAACTGTGTTCAAAAATGAACCAGAGTCTGTTGCCCCTGGCACTGTCTATGGCTGTGGAAGCTGGTCTGGTAAACTAATTTCTGACAAGGTATGTGGTGGAGGATAGCTTCATGGTTACCCTCCTAGCAACTTAGTTGCACGTTAACTGGGGTTTAAAGCCTTAGGCCCAGGCACAGTTCTGATGATGGGCCTGCCAGGCAGGGCTGCAGGAGGCTGGGGAGCTAAGGTTTGGGCCTGCAGGCTCTGGGAACCATGGGCAGATGTCTGCTGTAGCTGGGATGGTGACAGTCATCCCTAGAGTGATTGACAGCTATTTGAGCTGTTCCACTGGGGGCCTGCTCCCTCAGAGTCTGTGTCCACAGGAGGCTGGCAACCCTCCTTTAGGCTGAGCATCAAGTGTCCTCTGAGGTCCCTTGCACTTCTCATGAGCTTCCCTGTCCCTTCAGGCCTATGTTAAGAATGGGAGTTAAGGTGCACTTGACTGACTGCATCCCATCTCAGCCCTTCCCTACGGGGGTGTTGGGGTCCTGCAGACAGCGAGTCTTCCTGGGCCTCACAGGATGTAACTTTGAGGGTTTGGAGCCCCATTTGGAAGCCCCAGTAGTAGAGGGCTGTGTCAGAGGCCGCCCAGCAGAGATGCATGCAGGAGGGGTGGAATGCTCGGGAGAGTTCAGTTCTGACTCTGGCTGCAGCCCTGAGATAATGCATGTTAAGCACCTGGCTCTGGGCCATGTTTCTGCAGCTCCTGTTTTAAAGCAGCAACTCCTGGGAGCGTCTGAGGAGGAGGAGGAGGGAAAGGAGGAAGAGCAGGAAGAGGCGGAACTGTTCTTTCACACCTGGGCTGGGCGGGCCACTCGAGACCTGCCAAATAGGAAAGGGCCAATTTTCTACAATTTAGGGCACCCCCTTCCAGCGATTTTAAGCCACTGAGTAGTAATAATAATAACAACAGCAGCAGCACTTACTAAAATTGATGGCATATTTTGAGCCTTGGTAACAAATGGACAGTAAGTCACTGCACTCAAGTTGCTCACAGGCCTGGGGTTAGGGTGGGGAGATAAGACCAGGCTCTACCAGAGACCTGGACAGTGAGGGCTCTG